ACTAGTTTTTAATAACAAACACCCCAAATATATACATTAAAATCAAGTATTAAGAGTCTTCTATGTAATTGTACTTTTTTTTTCTAAAAAGCCTGGCCTTTTCCTAAATAACTCATTATCAGTTTTAAGACAAGTTAATGTTTATGATTATGGCTTAATCAGACCACATAAAAATGTATAAAAACAGAAATAAAATAAATACTGTAATTATAACACAGAGATATAGATTCAAATGACTAAGGCAAACTGGGAACATGACTTTCTCTAATTTTTGGATCTCCGTTGGATCTCTGTTCTTTAACTGTTTTATATATATATACATATATATATATATATATTCATTCATTCATTTTGGTTAGGCATATTATGTCATTCATGTAGAATTTAGAGTACAGGGGTCTCTTCCCTCCTACCTAGAATAGGAGTTCTGTGGACCAACCTGACCCATCCTGCCCATGATTTTTTTGTTTTTTGTTTTTTTTTTTACATACCAACTCCAGTTCCACCTCCGTCCTTTCCTCCTGTTGCCCCATCTTCCTTCCCATCCCATCCCCATCTGCTCCTCAGAGAGGGTAAGGCATCCCATGGGGGAGTCAATGAAGTCTTTCCTATCACCACATTGAGGTAGCACCAAATCCCTTCCCCCATGTCTAGTCTGAGCAAGATATCTCTGCAAAGAAATGGGCTCCAAAAAAAAAAGCAAGTACACACACTAGGGATAGATCTGGAAACATAAATTTATAAAGAAATCCCAATGATTATGGAATTTGTTAAAGAGCCTGATTCATGACTATATATGGATCTCAGAATTAAGTATTTCTAGAAAATCCCCTGTTAATCATTAGGCTACTAGTCCAAAACTCTTGGGCAGATGGCCTGTGGCAACCTCTTTAAGCGTTTCAGACATGAGAAGACTAAGCTTTTTGGATACTGTACCTCAGATATTTTCATTTAAGTGGATTTAAAAAAAAATGATCAATTAAGGATAATTTTGATCGCATTTCAATTCTTCTATAAGGAAGTCTTTTAAAACTAAAATGTACTACAGACAATAATAATTCTAAATCCTCCCTAGGGGACTCTGACTGGTTCTTGAACTCAAATTTTCCAGTTTGTTTGCTTTCAAGCCACACAGCAGTTAAATGGATTTCCTTAAATCACTATGAGTCTGCTTGTGCCCAGGCATGTTCAAAATTCCATAGGATGCCTCATTTATTGGTCAGATATTATCATCTTTGCATTGCCCTCCATAAATACAGACATTTCACCTTTAAAGAAGATACAGACTACTGTGAATGAGGGAAGTTGTTTTGCATCTTTTTTCTATTTCTTTTCTTTACTTCTTTTAATTTTTAGACAAATCTGGAAATGATCCCAGATCATGCATCATCCCCTTTAATTTAGAACTCAGCTGGGAGAGCTGTGGAGAAGCCGAACCTCATTTATTTATAATATAGGGACTCATTATTTTTCTTCCTGGAAGACATCTGTGTTTAGTTCTTCTGAAGAAATGTTAGATAAATGCCTTGAAGCAGCATGTTTGGATTCAATCTTTAGTTACATGTTTGTACCCATTAATCATGATAGACCCAGACACTAAATAAGCATATTACCCATGAACAGTGATGGGCATGGATGATCTCTCATGCTTAAAGGTGAAAACTTGTGGTTATCTAAGTTGGAATAAATTTTCTCAAATGTTAAAGTGAGAATTAATATAGAAGGTAAACTTGATTTACCTGTCTCCTAAATACATACTCTTCATTTCTGTGTTGATTTTTACTTCTTTCATTGTTTATTTAGTCATTCTGAAGTATGGAAATAGAAGTACCAAGGATGGATTTATTTTAATAATCAGATTTTTTTTCGCTTCAACAATCAGTAGGAAAGAGATGACATTGAGAAAATCATTAATTAAGTTCAGGGAAGTATCTTTCCTTCTGAGCAGGTTTATTTTATTTCTATATTAACTGAAGTTTTGATCTAGTTGCTAGACAATAAAAATAGTAGAAATATTTCACTGTGCTTGGAATATTTATTTATTAGCATGAGAATTTCCCATAAACCACCAATTAAAGCACAAATCAGCTTCTTCTTATATTAAAGAAAACAGAATCCATATGTCTGCTAGGAAAGGGAGGAGAGAGAGAAGAGATATTTAAAAGGCACTTACAATGTTGTATGAATGGTTATGGTAATAGAATTCTATCATGATTACATTTGATGGACTACGCATATTCTTTTCTTCATGAACTTAATAACTTGAACATTTTCTGCTAGAAAGCTACCTGCCCCTCTCCCACTACACACACACTAGTAAGATCTGGGTCATGGGATTAGAGCTCCATTAGGCAGTGCTTAACAGTGCTTTGGTGAAATGAGGAACTAAGCCCCCAGAGGCATTTTCCTAGCAGAGATCTAGTCTAGGCTGCAGTGAGGCCTTTCTTTGGAGAGGTGGTTGAACTACTGCCAGCCTGCCATATCCAGTATAGGTACTCCAGAAGGAATGCTTATCTGGAACTCCTATGCTCTTAAAACACAAAATATAAATGCTTTATCCATGTACTTTATTTTTTTAATAAATTTTGTTTGATATTTATTTTTTGCAATTTTAATATTTTACATATGAATCCCAGTTCCTTATCCCGCCCATCCTCCCGTCCTCCCCCACCGACTCTCCCAACGACTTCAACCCCCACCATCCTACTCCCCTATCCACTACCCAGGGAGAGTGAGGCCTTCCATGGGGGATCATCAAAGTTGTCACATAATTTGGGTAGGCTAGACCATCCCCTGTGTATTTAGGCTGAGAGAGTATCACTCCATGGGGCAATAGGCTCCCAAAGTCCTTTAGTGAATCAGAAATAAATACTTGTTCCACTGCAAGAGGCCCCATATTCTGCCCAGGCTTCCTAGCTGTCATCCACGGTTTCGGTCCTATGCTGACTCCCCAGCTCTCTGGCTGGGGTCCATGAGTTCCCATTTGTTCAGGTATGCATAGTCTTGACCCCTTTGTTCATCACTCCTCCCTCTGTACAACTGAATTCCGGGAGTTCGACTCAGTACTTATATAGCTGTGCCAGATTTCTCTTTAAACCTATAATCCTTCCCTCTATTAAGGTATCTCTTTTCATACTTCCCTCTATTCATCTCCCAACTCAGTCTTCCTGATCCTTCATGTTCTCCTCTCCCCTCCTCTATAGATGAATATATTCTAGTTATATCATTTCTATACTTCCAAAAATTTATTTCTTGGAATTTTACCTGTATATACTATAATATGTGATCATCTCCACCTACCAGTTCCACTTTTTACTCATTCTGGAACTCCCATACACATACATTCTCCTACTAACTTTATGTTCACTTCTTTTTAACACATATTACCTACTAATTATAATTAGTTCTACTCTTGTGCCCATGGATATGAGGGCATTCACTAGAGCATAGACAAGCTACTAGCAGCTATATCACCAAACAATAATGCTTCTCCCTCAGCAGTTATCTATTGTCAATAGCACCTCAATAGTCCTTCCCCTATCTATGCTAGCATTTTGGTTGGCTTGATTTTCTAGAGAAGACCACAGCTGCTGCGAGCTCATGACAGTCATACACATCTCTAATGATATGTACCTATGTATAAATATACATGTACATATATTTAAAGTTATTTACTGTTTCTCCATTGGATGTATAAGTATTTCAGTAATTGATATGAATGAGGAAAGGTGAAATTTGACATGAAGAAAAAACACATTTCTCAGCCAGTACAGACGTCTTGCAACAATGACCTCCACAGGTGTGCCATGGCACACTTCCTTTCTCCCAAGAAATTTACTTTAAATAAATAAGTATAATAAAATTTCTAAAAGCAATATATTCATTCAAGGGAAAGTGCTAATCTGCTACCCAATGATATCTATTCTGTAACATAATTAGGAAAATAAAACTAAAGCTAAACATGGAGCGTCAATATTTATGTCAAATTTCCAAACTCCTCAGATTTCATTCTAAAGTACAGACTTTAGAGTGCTATTGAAAGTGAAAAGGGAGGGTTTGGCAGGAATTAATACTTTCCTAGATCTGAAAAAAAAATACAGTAATTTTGTAGGTGGAAGGGGAGGACTTAGATCTTGGAGCAGGGGAAGATATAAATCACAGAGTTAACATTTCCATATCCATCCCTCACTTCTACACCAATTGTGAGCATTTCCCAACTGATGTCAGCATATAATACTGACTGAAAAGATGTCCTGAGACTATTTGAACAGTCAAAACAATCAATTTTATTCATATGACTACAGTACATCCAGCTTAGATAATATTGCTGTGACAAAGGGTGAATTAAAGTCTGTAACTACATTTTTCTTCATAGTACTAGTTTCTTAACAACTAAAGATAAATGAAGACTCTAGCCTTCAGTGCAAGAAAGTGGAGAAAATTCACATCATGCAGCCTGGGGGGAAGAGAAGGCAGTAATCCTGAACTCTCCTAGGTGGCTTAGTTGGGGGAAAAGGGTGCCTGTCTGAGGGTTGTAGCAGTGAATCTAATTATCACTCATTAATAGGTTGAAGTAAGTTAACTTCTCAAAGGAGCAAGAAAGAGACATTATGGCTGAATCATTAGGCTGCCATACAGTAATTTAAATATCTCAAGTCCATAATCTTTCAAAATGTCCTTTTTGAGGCTGGGCAAGTGGATGAAAAGAACAACAAATATGGAAAGGCAAAAAATAAAAGGTAACACGTGGCTTATTTTAGACAGGAGGACAAAGTACTTTGTAAAACTAGTGGAAGCATTTTATTGTATTTTAATCTCCATCTACACAGTTTAATTGGTTAGATTAGCCATCAGGTTATATTAACCATCAGATAAATTTTTGGCTGTTTTCCTATACCCCTGCAAGCCTGCTTCATTCTTACTCTGCTCTGTCTGTTTGTGATAGAAGTCAACTCAGGTATAATCTGTGTGTTTAGTGACCAATATTTTTGTTTTTGTAGCTTCACTAGCCAAAAATCAGATGATGACTATGAAGATTATGCTTCTAATAAAACATGGGTGTTGACTCCAAAAGTTCCTGAGGGTGATGTCACTGTCATCTTAAACAACCTACTGGAAGGGTATGACAATAAACTTCGACCTGATATAGGAGGTATGAGGAATTTTTGGATTCTGTGCTTTAAAGAGGATACACCAGCCCTAGTAAATTAATTAGGACAACACATCATTATATTGAAAGAGCCAGAATGCATTAAATTATCATCATATCATTTTCAACATAAAGAAAAGTTATATAAACAGCATTCAAGCCTGGTATTAGCAATGGTGAAGCTGGGAAACTGCTAGATAGTTTCCTAGATATTGGAAAGACTATTTTTTAAAGTTGCTATTGTTTTGTAAAAATCTTTGGATGAAATAACAGCAGAGAGAAAACAAAGAAAAGTAAAGAATAGCAGAGAGGATATTAGGATCACATAATTATGTAACACCCAGATAAAATTTCTGTGCCATTAGCGATAACCTGCATTTGGCACCATAGTGGTGGATGGACTAACCTAGACTAAGCCAAACTGGGTCTGATAGTCTGTCATTCCACTACAGAATCAGCATGAGACCTGTGTGAATCCTTTTCTCCTTTTCATGGTAATAGAAAAGAACAAGAAAGAAGGGGAAATATGGCGAGATTTACTGTTTGGGCTTAGAATTGTCACATTCACTTTTGTCTAGACAGTATCTGTCCGTATAAGAGTCACCAACCCCAAAGTCAAGAGACAACAAAGTAACCTCCCTTACAGATAGGCAAGGGTGTGGATGTCAGTGTGGATGAAGAATTCCATCTGCTGCAGAGAGTTTGGGCATGGTACTTTTTAGGAAAATGAATAAAGATGAGACAGGTATGCTTGAATTGAAGCCCAGAATGAGGTTATGTATCTTCTGCTTATTAAATATTAAATGGAAATATATCACATGTATTTGATCTTGAACATTATATTGCCTATTTTTAATATCAGTTCTATCAAACAGATTGGTGTGTAATGGGCTTCCTGATGGTTTGCTTCTACTATCTACACAGCTACAGAATCCAGTTGGTCCTTAGTGAAGATTTTCATTTGATTTTGGATGGTGAAGTTTGAGGGCAAAGTGGTGGTAAAAGAATAAGCAAGAACAATGTTACTTTATTGTAATGTCTACTTTGCACTTTGAATACATAGTTCCCCTGTGACTCATTAAGAGTGTTTCTATATACATCTACCAAGTGTGGACAGAAGGCACATATAGATTCTAAGCTTGGAGAGAATATATACTAAAATTCAGGATATCTGATCAGTGCTATAGAAAAGCAAACAGAAAGAACATGTTTTGATTTCTTCACTTTCATATACTCTGACAAAGAAAAGCCAAAAACTACTACAGTTGTTTTTGACACAACATGATTAAAAAGACGTATTACTTTGAAAAATTCATCATGAAAATCTAACATATTGACTAGTTCTAAATTATTCCAGAACAAATCATTTTTAATGTAGCTAAGTAAGTATATAAGAAATAGACTAAAGCAATACAATTTTGTTCCTCGTAAAAACAAACAAACAAAAAAACACAGAACTGTGATTTTCTTTGCAGTGAAACCAACATTAATTCACACAGATATGTATGTGAACAGCATTGGCCCCGTGAATGCTATCAATATGGTGAGTTACATAATTTCATTTCTATTTAGCTTAGAAATGATGAGGAAATACATTGAATGGAATTAAGAGTTTGGAAAGAAAAGACAATCCTAAGAACTGTTATTTTTCATGGAACTTAAAGTTCTTAAATGTTTAAGGACTTTTGTCATAAAAACCAAACATGGTAAGAAATGAATGAATCTAGGTGTGATATACTGTTGATTCAATAATCAATGATACATAATCATGAAAATAATTTTTAGTTGTTACATACTTATTGTTCTGACACAGACTAAATATTTAAAGACAGTCTGTAAGTAGCAATTTAGATTGTTCTTCCTGGCAGTACATTGAAAGTTAAAACTTAGCTACTTATCAGAGTGACAGTCTGGGAACTGTTCCTTAGTTTCACAAAATGATGTTTTTACACGTTTATATTTTCATTTTATTTTGTTTGGCAATAAAGTATGTCCATAAATATTACATTATTTTATTTCTCAGATCATGATTAATTACTTGAAAATAGTTCATAAAATTTGTTGTTCCTTCATTTAAAAAGAAAAAAAAAAGTTCAAGCAGAGAAGTAAAATGTGCACAGGGTGGCAGGGCATAAACAGTACACTGTTGTCTGTCAGCGAGACATGATGCAAGTGGTTCAGACAAGAATACAGAACAGAGTGGCAGCAGCAAGAGACACACATGTTCACATTGCATGTAGTCCTGAGAAAGCGATTTTTCTCTGGTACCTCATGCTTTCAACATAAAATGGAAATAGGGTGTTGGAAAAATAGGAGGGCCCTTCTGATTCTTCCATATTCTAAGAAGTCTAAGCTGGTTTTATTTGTTCTGTTTTTCCTATTTCAAAGCAATCTTATTGAAATCAAGATATAAAGTAATACAAAGCAAAGAGATTATTATTTAAACCATGAGAACACTATGTAATTTAAGATATTGCTTATCGTTATCAGACTTGATTCCTTGGATTATTGATAGAATGTGGTTTATAAATCAGCTGACAAGTGAAAAGCACTTAGAGAACTGACCCAGAGTAAGAACTGCTCATGAGTCACACACATACAGACACACAGAAATAGATAAACACACACATACACACACACACACAGAGAAATATATACACATACATACACAGACACATACACAGATAGACACACATACACACACACAGGTATACATACATGCAGTTGCAGCAGGATATATTTTTTAAATCAACAGCTGTCATACTGATGACAAAGTCAAAAGGCAAAGAATCCAAGTGTCATAGACCTTGAAGGTATAGTCATGTATTAAGAGTAGTTTTCTTTTCTTTTTTTTTAAATGAGGATAGCAAAACCCAAATAATACAGAAATAATTTTTTCAAGAATTTCTATGAATATGGCAGCCACAGTAGGTCTATATTCTGACTCCATCCCTTTGTCTCTGAATTTCATGTACTATTTTCTTGCTTTTGGCTGAAGTCACCCCCTTATAGTTGATAGGCTCTTGAGGCAAATCAATGAATTCACTTGTTGTTATTACATTTAAGAACACATTCCATGGGAGTTATAAATTCAGCATATGAGTCACGACTAATATTTTAATAAAATAGCTTTATTCTAAGTAAGTCACAAATAAAATCATTGCATAGATAATTAAGTAAGCTATTTAATTATTTTTATCCTTAAGGGAAAAGGAAATGAACAATCATAAATTCTAGTAAGTTGTCTTTCAGTGTTTGTTATTTGTCAGGGATAAGGAGTTTTGCATAGTTTGTATTTTTATAAGAGTGACCCTTTGGGGGTATTTAGAACCCTTCTTTTATTATGAGGCAACTGTTCCAGGATCACTGATGTGGGGAAACCAAAGTCCCCAGAATTCAAGAGCCTGGAACACTTAATCTCTTAGAAGACATTTAGAAATATCTGAGGGGTGGGTTGGGTTGGAAGGTTTGCTACTGGTATCCCAGACAAAGAGGCATCCTACAATGGTCAGAGGCACCCTACAGTGCCTATCTTCACTCCTCATCAGTAAATAATGACCTGCCTCCCCGTTTTACAAGTGTGGGAAGGAATTCACGGACTAGGTATTTACACAGAAATGAAAACTATATAAAACTGATGTCTAAGACAGATATGGTAGTGACTTCGTCAACAAAGCTACTGTTTCTTTTTGGACTATTTAAAACCCAAACAACACTGCCTCGTGCTGGCAATAAGCAGGGACCGAGAAACACAAACCAAACACTCTAAATCCTCTGTTCTTTTTAAAACAGGAATATACAATTGATATTTTTTTTGCCCAAACCTGGTATGACAGACGTTTGAAATTTAACAGTACCATTAAAGTTCTCCGGTTGAATAGCAATATGGTGGGAAAAATCTGGATTCCAGACACTTTCTTCAGGAACTCCAAAAAGGCTGATGCTCATTGGATCACCACTCCCAACAGGATGCTGCGAATCTGGAATGATGGTCGAGTTCTCTATACCTTAAGGTAATATTTGAGGGGAAAGGAGCACTTGTTGACAATAAAGGAACAAAATCAGCCCTATGTTTTTAAAAAGGAAAGCTGGGTGGAAAAGGAGGGAAGGAAGCCCAGGGCTGTTTGTTTTCTATCTTTCTGTCATGTGAACTAGGGCATTTCTGTGTACAGAACTTACTGGAGGATTATGAGAATGGACTTAGTTTTAGGATTCATATCAGAATTCTTTTCTCTATAAGAAACATGTTTCCCTTGTTATATTTCCTATTCACATAAATTAAATGAACTCAGATATAAATTATTAGGAAAGAATTAGCCTCCATTCCCGATGTTGTAAACACTTCTCCCTACCTCCCACTAATTTATGTCCAGTTCATTAATGTGAATAAATTACAGTTATACTTCTTGGTTGTCAGGTAAGAATCTTACCCCACAAGTTTCGTAGATGTGAAAAGAGTGATGGGTAAAAGGCCAACCACAAATCGTGATACATAAATATGTCAGATGCAATATTTATTTGTATATTTTCAAAAATTAAATTATAAACCTCTAGATTTTAGCATATAATAAGTATCAGTAAAGTATATTTATGTCTTATTATTCTTAATACTATTTAATATTATTTTAAAATGGCCTGATCTAACCAGATTTAGATCAGTTACTGAGAAAAATGGCTCCAATTGCAAAAGTAAGCCATTGTGACAATTTTAAAGTCATTGGGAATTTATTAAATCACTAATAAGGTAATTACTAGAATGAGAAATGTGAAAATCAAAGTCAGTATTATAAGTCATAGCTCATTCTGGATTTTGAAATATGCAATCATTCATCTTAGCTCAGGTCTTGTTATCATTTTATAATGTGGTAGTCATCTTTGAGTTTTATTAATTTGAGGAAGCACTGTAGTGTTTAATTATGGAAGCCTCCTAAAAGTGCCAATTATGGTATACTTAAGGCTTGAGACAATGTCTATATAGAAAAAGATGATTTTAGCTTCTGTATGTGTACACAGATATCTAAGCTATGTGTACATGTATGTATATATATATATATATATATATTTGAGTCTGTATTTAAAACTGCAATCTATCTTTGATTGTAATAATATCACTTGAATTTTGAGAGATAATTCTAATAAAAAAACAAATTTAATTAAAATCTCAATTTTGAATAAAGCCAAGCTTTTCTTTAAAGAAAAATCATAAAGAGACTGTGATTAAAGTCTCCTGTTGTGAAGAAGGATAGGCCTAACTCCAAGTCCTGTGACTTGTTCCTGGTCTTGTGACCTTGAGTAAGCTCAAATACAACAGAGCCCTAACAGAGCTTTCTTGATCCAGGCTTTATAGGCAATTAAAGATGCACTGCAAGATCATTAATTGCTTTATTATACCACAAAAATTTAAATATGCCCGATTAAAAGTTATGCTAATTGGGAAGTCTTTTAAATTAAGTTTTTATAAAATAACAGTTTTATCACTTCAGCAGAGGTATTGGTAGTTGTAAGAAATTCAGCTCACAGATCTGAACATTTTGAAAATTATCAACCATCACCATTGCAGGGTGACTTTTTTCCACGCATCTCCAAAGGTGATCAAAGTATCACCTTTTGATTCAAACTGGTTGAATCTCAGTCTAGGGCTTGAAACTCCAAATCTCGAAGCTTTAATCCTTTGCCAACTGAAACTCATTGGTTAAGGCTTTTGCAATTGCTCAGTGTATGTGCATTTAGCATCTCTTTCTTGTGTGTGTTTTAGATAGTTCCCTTCTCTATAATATACTATTTGATGGCTTCATGGTGTTCTGTTGTAAAAGTGCACGCAAGTCGGTTGCACAACAGAGGTATTTTAAAACCCACCTATGGTAATTTAAAAACAGCAAGTTCTTGCCAGGAGAAGGCTTTGTTTTAATTAACTGTTAAGTTCAGAAAACTGTCAGCATTCATTTCGATGCAAACATTAAATGATCTTAAGTACCTAAAACAGATTGTTCTCTTAAATAAGTTAAATATATCGACTGAGAAATCTCCAATGTGTGCAATTAACTTGTAAAAATAAATAAGAAAAATATAAAACAACTAATCACATATTTTGAATAAATAGAGTTGAGGTGAATTTTTTTGCTTAGAAATAACTTTTGTCTGGATCTCAGAAATGTTTTCACTAAGGATCAGGCTGTGTTATCAATCAGAATGTCATATTGTGCATTTTAGAAATGATGTTAGTAGTTTTCTCTGTTATGTTTTTTGTGGTTCTAATTAGGCTGACAATTGATGCTGAGTGCCAGTTGCAGTTACACAACTTCCCAATGGATGAACACTCCTGCCCCCTGGAGTTCTCCAGTTGTAAGTAATTGTCTGTACTACACCTTCAGTCATTCTGATCACCTCATTAATTAATATAATGAATCATAGAAGTTGCAGAGTGACATTGGACTATGTTATGTATTTTGAAACATTTTTTTCCATTTTTAAATTTCACTTTACATTCAACCACAGTTCTCCTTCCCACTGCTTCTATCATCCCCCTTGTCTTCTCCTACCCTTCCTCACCTCCTGAAATCTTTTTAATGTAATTCAAATTTGTGCCAATTAAGACAATCTCTGCAGAAGTATTCATTGAGTGGGAAACTTTTAGAAAACAGACACTGAATTTATGTCTAGAGTCACTGATGAGAAGACTTTAGGACCAGACCTGAACTCAATAGAAAGGGCACAATGATTGATTCTATACTTCCAATTCCCTTCAGTGGACACAGAAAAGTGTATAACACATTCTTAGACAAGGTGTATCCCACATTAATACTGTTCTGTCAGTATATGTTAAATGCATGGCATGACAGCACAATAAAAGTATACTTTTTGTTATTATTCTCAATGGATAATATAACATATCTAGAGGACCTTTGACAAGTGTACCACTGACTAAACATGAACACTTCTGCAGGCATTTGAAACCAAAACAGGTATCAGTTTTCTAACTGGTTTCCTTTTTGTTAATCATCTTCTTTAGATTATCTATCATGGCCTTATTTTTCATATGGTAGTTGGATGCATGAAAAATTAATTATGGATTTTAAACATATACATTCATCAACACATTTTTCTTCTAGGGAGTCATAGAAACTCCTAAGATGAATAAAGTCATAATCATTGTTAATAACCATTGTTAATTTTAAAAGACCAATTATAAAAGAAGCAATCATCAGTTCATCATATCATCAATTCCAAGGATAGATATGTACACACTACATACTTAGAAAACTTTCCATTATATATCAAATGTCATGTCTATCTATTTGATTAAAATGTGTCCAATTATAAAGTTGATATTTCCTTCAATTTTAATGAGAATAACCTTGATAGCTTACAATCACGTATAGCTGTTGTTATTTGGAGTTAGTTGAAACTCAAAAACTAGAAATAATTGTGCCATGAGATCTCAATTGACAGTTGCCCTCTCAGCACACACACAGTGTAATGTCACTTACTGCTACAAAAAAGCAGTCACCACTGCCCTTCTCACAGTGTTCCCTTATGGCGCTCTGCTCTCCCCATTCACAGTGTTGCTACATATGTCCCCAGCTTTTCTGTAGATGTCATCGACCTTCTCTCTTTTACAAAAGTAATATTCATCCAAAGTAAATTAAAGTATAAAGGACAGAATATTTAATTCAAATGGGAAATCATACTTTATAGTCAAGGGTTACCTTCATCTAATGTTATTAATGTACAAATAGTTAAACATTTATTTTTTACTTATTCATTCGTGTACCCACTTATTTGGGGGCCATATGAGAGAGTGAAACCAGGACCTTATTTCAGGCTAAATAAACATTCTAAAACTGAGCTTTAGTACTAGCCTTGCTTTTAATTATATTCATATTTTATTGAGAAAGGGACAGTCGTCAGTTAATTCATAATAATATTGTTCATTCAGGACATACTCACTGCCCATAAGCTCATTATATAGGAATTATAATAATCTCCATTAAGAATTATTTTACAAAAGAGTTAAAAATTCCTATGATAGCTATGAAAACCATACTTAAAATCACTACTTTGCTTTGATTTTCAGTGCAATACTATTTGTTGTGAAGATCTTCTATTCCCCTAAGCTCTTTTGTGTGTTCCTATTGTCATTGGTACATGCTAATTGCAATTTTAAATTTCTATCTTTAAACAGAGTCCAAACTAAATACTGATACCATCATATATTTCCTCTCCTTGCCCTCTGCCATACTCTAGCCATGTTATCCTAGTAATAAGGTGGGGCAGAAGGTAGTGAATTCAAGGCCAACATGAGCAATCCTTGTTTAGAAATCCATATTCCCTAATGCCAGATCAAAAGACAGGGGAGGGAGGGAGGAAGGAAGAGAGACTGAGCAACTTAATATCTGATAGTATAAATGCTTATGATATTAGGAACTGGAAAAATATGTTTATGGCATCTTTCTCATTGTTTCCCATGTCTGTTCCAAGACTCTCAGAATCTTGAACTACTGGCAAGTCTTCACTATGAAGCACTATCTTACATTTCTAATCTTCATTTTGAACTGGACACTTTTGTATTACCTCAGGTGATAAAAGGCACAGCTATAACCTTTAGAAAATGATTTATTGTTTAAATTCCACACAATTAAAAGTGATTTTTCAAAAGAAGTTTTGACTTTCTATCTTTTTCAGCCTGGTATGATTATTCTGTTAATTTTCCATAAAGCAGTACCTTTCAGTGTGGGGTGCTATTATGACTTAGAGTGCCGTTCCCCTTAGCATCTACAGCTTGTTCAAGGGAAGTAGCTGCTACTTGTGGCCATCCACTGTTGCATTTAATGTGTCATTTACATCTCATGATAGATGGTTATCCACGTGAAGAAATTGTTTATCAATGGAAGCGCAGTTCTGTTGAAGTAGGAGATACAAGATCTTGGAGGCTGTATCAGTTTTCATTTGTTGGATTGAGGAATACCACTGAAGTAGTGAAGACAACTTCTGGTATGTCGCTCTTGAAAAGAATTTTAAGTGACACTTGCAATTTGGAAAGCTTTTCAATGCACTTCTATGCATGATATTCAGAAAGACCAAGCAGCAGACTAATTTTTTAGACAAGATGTTATTTGGAATTCTAGTAGCATAGATGAATATACATGTATCCTATCAACTTAAAACAAATTGGATTTAAAATATTTTAGTAATTGATTTTCTAATTTCTTGAATTGCAATTATTCGTGAAAAGAAAATGTTTATTAGGTGTAAATTAATTTAGTCCTTTTAGAGGGTATGTTTCTTAGTCTATTGAAATTTAAACATTTAAATAATCATGAGAGAATATGAAGTAAATGAGGACTTTTTAACTTTCCAGTAATTGAATTAAAAAAATACTTTTGTTAGGTCTTTGAGAATTTCATGCACTCTTATAACATTTTTGCCCCTTCCCATACAATTTTGTGATTATTATTTTTACTTCCCTTTTCATCCTTTTTCTGTTGCACTACTTGTGTTGGAATTGTGGTTTGTTCTGTTGTACAAAGGTTCTTCTATCAGAGGCTCTGTCATTAAACAAACAAAAACAAAAATTTAATCCTTCTTTACCAGAGACTAACAAATGCTAATAGATCTTTACCTAAAGGATTATGTATTTACCTTCCAATCTGAATGCTGGGATTTCTTCTTGGCTGGAGCTTGCATAGTCTTTATGCATTCTGTCACTGTCACAACTGCTATGAGGTCAAATGTGCACCTGGATTGATGTGTTCAGATATCTGTTCAGTTTAATAATTTTATACTGGTTCCAAAACTGGATAAGATAATATGTTTTGCATATTGTACACAACTGTCTCCAGTCACAACTGCATCAGTCTGAAATTCTGATGGGACCAATTATTTCATATATATATATATGTACATATATATATATTAATATTACTACTCATTGAGAGTCTGTGTATATGCTATACACATATATTTATACATATTATTCATAAAAATGATTGGACATTTCTGGAGCTCCTAAAACTGCACTTGTTAAGTACACATAGCCAGGACATTAAATTAGTAAAAGGAGCTAAAGAACAATATTTTTATACGAAGTATCATGACTTTTAATGGTAGGGTAATCTGAACAAGAATAGCTACCACAGACTCATGTTTGAATATTTGGTCCCTGCTTGGTTGAACTGCTTAAGAAGGATTGGGAGGTTGGGAGGTTGAAGGAAGTATGTGCTGGATATGTCAACATGACAGAAGCTAGAACCATTTGATCTTTGCACCTCTTCCATCACTGACCTCTAAAGACTCCTTTGTTTTGGGAAAGCAAAGAGGTTGAAGCAATGCTTGAGTGTATGGAGAAAGGTGGCCTTCTGTCCCTTCATTCACAGGGACCTTGATCATCATGTACTGGAACATTTTTCCCTTTCCATTTGGTTCAAGGGTAAAAAGAAAAATCTCAAGACTACCTTTGCACTAAAGCTTACTATATATAAAAGTAATACAAATATAATCTCCAGTGGCTGGTTACCTCTTCCAAAAAGAGAAACTGGGATTAATTTCTGTTGTACATTCACATTTCTGTATTTCTACCAGCACCTTAAAATAGCATCCACAAACTCATGACTATCACACTTTTTGTTTATTCATTTTGTTCCAGCAAGACGTTCAGTACAAACGGCAGTAGAGGAAGGCTGATGCTGCATCATAAGTTCCTAGTATAACACCCTGCCCCCCCCCCAACATCACTTGGAAACTGCCTGTGGGAATTTGTTAAGACAAAGGTACAGAAGAGACTGATCCAATCATTTTAAACATAGTAAAAATTACCAAAGTCCCATGATAATATAATCTCTTCAAGGAAATCACAGTGAAGCTATAGGGAAGGTGAATGCTAGATTTGATAAAATAACTTCTCGTAATAAAACGCAACTTCATTATAATTTTAGTGTGGTGGCTAGATTAAACACACTTACCACTTCTTTCTACTCCTTGTTCTCCTTTAAAAAAAAACTATGTGGTTCTTGTGCATTTCTGTTTCAATGGCCTCATTGAAAATAATGCCTGAATTGAAAACTGACATCAAGGTCAAGAGGACAGCATGATGCGTTCAACAATTTGATTCCTTAAACTTCTAGAAAATCCCATGTAAAACTAATGGAAGGTGCCATGAGACATGAAATAGAATGCATTATGAAACTGATGGTTTGATAGCATGGTCAAAAGCTGTAAGGAGTAAGATTTTTCTGCCCGCCGCTGGTCTAGTCCCGCCGCCGCGCCAGCCCCAAAAAACACACAGGACTCTGTATCAGATATAATGCTGTTGGCCAGTTACTTGTTTCTTATCAGCTAGCTCTGTCTTAAGTATTAACCCATTCCTGTTAAAAAAATAAGTACTTCCACGTGCTCTAATCTTACCAGGGAATGGGGCAGGCGTCTCACTTCCCCAGCCTCTCCATCTTGACTCCTCCTTCTAACTTCCTGGAATCCTCCTTGTCTCCTAGCCCCGTCTATCTTGCTTTCCTATTGGCCAAAAGTGCTTTATTCATTAACCAGTAGGAGAAACATATTTAATGAATGACATCTCCCATCATCTCCTCTTTTCTGTCTAAATAAAGAGAAGGGTTTTAACCTTAACATAGCAAAATATAACACAACAGTTATCAAATAAGAATCACAGTTAACAATATTTAGTTCATTAACATTTAGTAAGATTTAAGAAAATATTCCATCATGTATTCTATCTTTGTGAGTCTAAAGTCCTATATGTAACTTATCTTTAAGCTTAACTAAGGAAAACTGTAACCATAACTATCTGTCTCCAACTCCTTCAAAAACAACAGAAGGATAGTATATAAACTCTAGAAATGACAGCGACAACTCACTGCCTGACCAGTCACCCAAAGTTCTTCTGTAATCTTCCATCCTCAGCCCATAGGCCATAGTGTGCTGACAGACTCTTCAGGAAAGCAGGAAACTTTAAACTGTCTTCTTGTATTGGCAGTTTGTCAGTCACTTTTCTTTGTGCCCTATAGAATATCTGGCAGACTCTTCCATTAAGCAGGAACTCTGTAGCAATGTCCATCTCTAATCAGCAGTCACTTTTCTATAGGTCTTGCATGTCCAGCATAAAGTCAACAGTCCAGGTTTCTTCAATGTCCATCTTCCTTCTTCCTTTCTGGTGCAGGTGGTATTGCCAGGAGCATTTATGTCTCACTGTCAAGAAAAACCCTAAACCATTTTAAATGTCATATTCTGTAGGTCTTTGAAAGGTTTGAAGAATTTCTATTCATCTCAAATACATCTCTACATATTTAGAAATCCTAACTCACCTAGCTATAAGTTTTGACTATTATAAGTAACTATCTAAAATCTGAACTAAATTATACTTTACATTTTTAAATGAACTATATAAACACAATACCTAAACAAGAGATATATAGCTATCACAAAATTGACCTTAAATTGTATCAATAAATGAAAATCTATTCCAAAACAAAGTATTCATGTCTATACCATCAAAAGCAGCTCCAAGACCAGTGACTTCTCTATAATTTTGGGTAGAGGAGGAGGTTTATTGAATAATTAGGGAGAAAAATGACATCAAAGCTAGAATGTTCCTGCTTGATGTCATGCTAACATCAAAAGCATCCAGCTCATTTCCAGAGCTGATGACACCAAGCTTTTGGAGATGAACATTGAGTACTAATCTAATGATGTTCTTCATTTGTAAAATGTTGGGAAACTGTGTGGGAAGACTGTGAAGAATGGCTCCAGGCGCATCATGGCTGAAGCTGGAGCCTTATTATCATTATTATTTTTATTTAAATTAGCTTACTGTATTTTAGCAAAGGTAGCAAGCCTGAATCAGTTAGTATGAACAGGAGTTACTGTAAAATATAATATGCTAGGTAATATTATGTATATTTAAGTATGTAAGTACGTGTTCACTAAACTGAGTATATTGAAAGAGGGGAAGAAAAGGCAGAATGTCTGACACCAAAGCTTACACCCCTCCTTTTTATCAATAAGATGGAAAATTTTGTACATGAAAGAATTCCTCCCTACTTAAGTCATTGCTTCCTCATAGTTCTCACATCTACTTTCCTGAGTCCTCTTATTTGTTCCCAGTGCCTCTGTGCCATCTTTGGAGGAAAATATTTTCCAGGTGGTAGATTAGTGTAGCACTTAGTGAGTAATGTCAGTTCAGTCACTTTATCATCACAAATCGTGACCTAACAATCCTCCTTCCATGCCCCATCTCTTCTTGATGGTTCATTATCTGGCAGCAATACCACCATGGCCCCCATGAGCCAGTCATGAACACTCCGAGCCATGTCTCTGCCTCCTACACGTAATGAATCATGAAGGCTCTGGTGCCTCTGAAATCTCTTGTGTAACTGCCCTCCTTTCTGTTACCATTGCCACTGCCCTAGTTCACAAATTTGTCTGTTCTTATCTGGACTATGTCGGCAGCTTATTAAGGCATGTCCCTGCTGTCAGCCTCTCTCCTCTAAGTTGTGTGCCTTGCAAATTAAACAAAAAGCAGCAGAACTTCTTGAACACTACCAGCATACAACAGAATTCCCTATCTCTGCAAACAGCTTATGGCAATCCCCCAAATCACAGTACTAAATGCAATTAGCAATAATGCTGATATCATGGCTAGTGTCTTTGAGGATTTTATTTATTTGTAAGGATTGAGTGCAATTTCATGTGTCTGCTCAGAGACACGTGCTTTTCCTTATTACATTACTTTGCTCCCCTGCTGATGCTGTTATTCACCCACTGTATAAAGCCCAGCAAATGTCAAAAATGAAGCAAATTCAATCAAACTCACACTATTATTTCTAATATTTAAGAAAAACATATTCATGGCACTTTTAGTACTGTTTTCTGTAGTTTCTAAGCTTGTCATTAAACTCACCGGATAAAATATTGCCTATCCTCTATTCATATCCAATTTCAACTTTCTTTCTCTATAACAGGACTTTAATTCATGAACAATA